TTTTTTTTTGTTAAGCTTATTGGCAAGCGGTTCGGATGATATGCATGTACGTTTGTGGGATGCTGAAGGCCGACCACTGCACTGTATAAAATCAGGCCATTTAAACAATATATTTTCTGTACAGTTTTTACCAAGTGGTCAAGACAAAGTGATTCTGAGCGCTGCAGGTATCATACTTTCTATAGCTTTTTTATGCCATCGATTCAGCTGACACCATACCCTGTTTCGTTTCTCGATTTTAAATTCGCAAATTCCTTTTAGACTTTTGAAGTGTTCTGGACAGTATTATTGATGTTGGGGAAATATCCTACTAGATTTAAGGATCTACCAGATATTCGGATAGTACGTGTACTATAAGACTTCGTTTTTGAATCATGTTGAACCCCACAGGAAGTAGTAGTCATAGGCGGATTTAGGGGAGGGAAAGACGGGCCTTTCGCCCCCTCCCCCGCCTAAAAGCACAGGTAACAGTACTACAGAAGTCAGAGTCTAAAGCTAAAACTGAAGAAAACTCTCTTATGCACCCCATTCCTCCCTCAGGAGCCTCGACCCCCCTCCTCCCCGGCTATCGCCCCACCGGTAGATCCGCTTCCTTCCTCCCCCCTCTCCCTCTGAAGGCTCTCCTGGGCCCCCCCTACTGTAGTAGTACAGTAAAGGTTATATAAGCGTGCATGAACGCAATTGAAATATCTTAATATCTTAATTTGAGGTTATTGAAATCCCTTAAATTACTGCTTTTGGCTTAAAATCGAACGTTTTTGGCTTAAAATTACTCTCAATTGAAATGTCAGAGTTTCACTGCTTCAGGTGACAGTAGCGTACGTATGCATTCATTTACTCATTCTGATGTGCCTTATATATGGTGGTCTGGTGGACGCGTGAAACGTTTAGCTGTTACACGTGCTGATCCACAGCTCTTCTGGTCTGCTGCCGAAGATGGCATAATCAAGTAAGCTTAATAATCTCACTGTACTGAGTCGATAATTACAATTTTGCCCCTCCATATGGCTAGCAATGCGGGAAAAAGTGGTTCTTTTTAGCGGCTTTATTGTTGACCTCAGTTAAAAACTAAAGTAAAGACCTCAATATTTACTAGTTGTGAGAGGCTAGGCTTGCCTATTTTGGATGGTATTAAAATTTGATGAATTATGAGGAGTTTGCTTTACGCGTATATCTTGTGTTTCTTATTTTTCGTGTGTTCGATAGATAGTTCCCCAGCGCTTCAGAGAATATGATGTACGGACCTCCGAATCAACGAATTTGATTACTTTTGATGGAAAAGAA